CCACCAAAAACCTGAAAGCACTGGATAGTCATTTCATCCTAGTATGGGACTCCACAACAGTGTGTATATATGATCCCGCACGCATGATTCGAACCTATAACATTTGGTCTCGCACTCAGACGTTTAATGATAAAATACATCCGTACTTTAGAATGACCTGAAACTAATAAGAAAAAAAGAAATTTTAGTATAGAAAAATATGACTAGTTTATTATGGATCAGTATAGAACATAAACTGACAAACGCATCACTGTATAGAATCAGTAGTTTGTTGAATATCATAACATATGAAGCCAATTTAAGTTAATCTATGCTAACTTATTAATTATTCGTATAGTATGACAGTAACTAACGAAAAATATATTGAACAGTAAATTTGAATATATTTGATTAATATGTAGAAAGAAGAAAACAGGCGGATTTTCTTTTTTAAAACAGTTTACTTGAGAAAACAATTCGTTATTTGTATCGGAAGGGGTTTTGTGAAGATTTCAGTAATTTAATAGTCGAATTCATGATTCAATTAAAGCTAGACCACCATGGGAAAACCCGAAAGCACTAGACGGCTGTTCCGTCCGATTATAGCACTGCTCAGCAGTGCGCATCCATGTTCCAGCCTTGAGGGACTCGACCCCAAAACCTACTGGCCTCGCGCGCGAATGCTCATCCTCTAGACCATTGGCCGGTATTCAATGGTGATGGTGTCTACCTTCAACTAATCCACGAAACTGAGTGGTACATTCACATTATTTCTTTCTTTCATTATTAATGTTAAGAAATAATGAATAAACCATTATATTATTGTGTTTATTCACATGCTACAAACCAAAATCAAAATTCATTATTAAATGTTCATTCGATTTGATTTAATTTATTTTAGCTAAGCTGATCACAAGATTACTCAAATTTCATTAATTGTTCTTATTATTTTACTAGATACGATATCCACAGATGCTTTTATTCTAACTCAATTTTCCGCCTGACCTTCACTTCATTATGATTGATTGACATTAATTCGAGTTTGTTCAATTTTTGTGTGCTTGAAGATTATGTGTTGTACCATCTTGTTCTATTCTACTTCAAATACCATAATTTGCTACAATTAAATTTTCTGTTTTTTTTGTGTTAGTGGTCAAATGTTGAAGTATTGTGCACTAGTATTACAGTAACTTAGTCGTTCCTATGACACTCAAATATCAGGACTTAGCAGTTACACAGTTAAATTGCTATATTGAAATGGTGAAGAAGATCTGTAGATTAGGAGGAGAATTTCAATAGAGTTTTGTTCTCTGGACTGGGTGGTTTGATCGTGGAGCTTTCATTGTTCTTCTGAACAACATCATCAGCACGAAATTCAAATGGAAGTGAAGTGTTCAAATTTCTTCACATGACTCATAGCTTGTCCTGTTGTTTTCAATCTTGATTGGTTATTGTTGACCTTTAACCTATCATTGTCTACCTTTTTATTGTGATTGTATCTCCCTATAATCTGATTCTTGGTTTTATATTTGTCCATGATTATTCTAATTGGTTGATAAATTGGATTGATGTTGATGCATTTGTTGGTTGCTGATTGATCCAAGTGCTGAGTTTCTAAAAATTCAATGATGTTTTTAGTATTCCCTCTATCCAAAATCTCCACATTTCCCCAATGGAATATGTGTCCATAGTTGTCCCCGTGCATTAATATAAGTGGAAATATGTCATGGTTTTTGACCTTAATTGACGTTCATTCAGGCGAAAATGAATTGAGCATCCACTTTTTAAGGAATGGCTACTCTAGCTACTTATCACACTAAACAGATTTCACACTGAATTAATGTAAAGAATAAAGTATCTCGAATAAACATAACACTGAAATAAGTTAATGTTAAATTGAATAAAATACCATACTGAAAATAAAATAAATATTACACTGATTAATTATTAAATTGAATTAAAAAGGGAAGCAACGTTGAACATAGGTCACAATGGGTTTAAAACTCAGCTTTGCCTTTTTTTCTATCATATCATCTCCTGCTGAAAATAGACCCGACATCTCGGACCCAACTAAAGTCGTCGGGATGGGTGTATATTAATAGTCACGACTATTAATGACAAACAATTTCTTAGTAAACGATAATCCGTTTATTTCTTGATGTTGCCTGTCAGTGTGAATGTGAGCCAATTAATGTATATGTGTCCAAAATTTCAAGATGTACGGCTCTTTCCACAGTCAATTGACTAAATGGGGCTGGGTTTTATAAACAGGGTTATATAATTACTTTCTCAGTTTTGTTTTTCTACATCCATCCAGACTTTAAGGATTTGCCAATTATGTTACCTGTTAACCTTCAGTATCTCTTCATATGAAATAAGAAGTTTTTAAAGAATTTTGATTCCCTTGGGTTCAATTCCCAGTTTTATCTCTACTGAATATTGTAGTAATTTATTTTCAAGCTTTTGAAAGATCATATATGAATCTATAATCAACGTTGTCACTTCAACCTAATGTATCGCAAACCGGAATAACGGTTAAGTTTACGTTCATGTATTCATTTAATTGGTCATATTATGGTGTCATGTTTTATGAAAAAAACTACATTATGCTGTGAATTTTTCTGTGGTTGTAATTTTTATTTGCCACGTCCTACTGCGTTATGCCGGACATGCGTTACATGCTGGAATGATATCCAAAATCATAACATAAAACAAGTGAGTTTGCCTGAAGGAATACATTGACTTAAGTAGCAACAGCTAAAACCGAGAAAACAAATCTGATTCAAAAAAATTAGCGTCAACATTTAGAGTATTACTTTAACTATGGAATTTCAACGCACTAAAACGCTAAATTATGCAGCTACACAAGAAAACAGCAGAAAACACATAGAATGAAGCAAGCCGATCGCCATTGCTTACAAGGATGAAGGAAATGATAATTCCCAATTCATTCTGATTAATCGCTAAATCGACTGTCAAAATCACAGAACAGAGTTGAGTTTAATCGCAGCCGATTTTCATTTACTAAGCGAGTAATTCATCAATAAACATTTTCAATGCTAACATTTCTTAAGCACTACTGTATAGCCTCAAATGAACTATAAATAGATAAACCTACAACAAGACAATATTAAAAAAACTTTTTGAGCATACGTACCAGTCAGTGTGTGGCGACCGAAAATTCAGGTAAGTAAAACCAATTTATTGTCCAGTACAAATCACAGAATGAATTCATGAAATAGGAAATCCATATATCAAATACATTATTTGCACATCTTCTTTTAGATGTTATTTACATACTTCATGATTTTTCCGATTCTATTTTTATTCCAATTACTCTCTGTTTCCCCTCCTGTTCTCTTCAATTTAATCTTCTGCTGGCAGGTATTCCACTTCCGATTGCTGCTACATACTACTTATATCTGTCAGAATAAGTAGCATACACTACACTTGATGTTTTATTTAAAATTTACATTCTATTTCTTATATTAACACTGACTTATGTTAACATTGAATGAAGCCCATGAATAAGGACAAGGATATTCATAAATTTTCATCTTGGGAAATCTCTAGGATCATTTATTACCAAAAATTAATTAATTTTTAACTAGAGTCGTCGGAACGAGTCTTTGGTATAGAAGCATTACTCAACAATAATGTTTTAACATAATCATTATTTTTTATGGACTAAAATACATTTCTTCTTTATATTGGAAACAGTAAAATAGAAAAATTGTTTATTTTCAGAAGAAGATTTTGAGAAGATTTTAGTAATTTATTAGTTAAATTCATCAGTCAATTAAAGCTGAACCACCATGGAAAACTTGGAAGCACTAGACTGCCGTTTCGTCATAGTATAGGCCTCCTCAGCAGTGCGCATCCACGATTGCGCACGTAGGACTCGAACCCAGGGCCCTTGATCTCGTACTTGAGCGCTTAAGCTCTAGACTACTAAGCCGGTATCCAACGTTGTTAATGTCTAACCTCGACCAATCCACGATATTGAGCGACCATCTTCCATTGTACAGAAGTAGATACCTGTCTCAAGCTAACATGGATTAGCTCCCTTGGTCACGGCTGCTCACTAGAACTCCGAGATTTCCCTCACGAAGCTAGTAACCACTGAGCATATGGCAATTATCAGGTTAAACATTAACACCATTGGATACCGGCTCAATGGTCTAGAGGTTAAGTGTTCGCGCGCAAGGCCGAAAGCCCTAGGTTCGAATCCTACGAGCGTGATCGTGAATATGCACTGCTGAGGAACCTCACAATATGATGGAATAGCTATCCAGTGCTTCTAGGTTTCCAATGGTTGTCTAACATCAATCGGTTCATGATCTCAAATAAAAAAAATCTACTTCACTAAACTCGCACTATCATTATTTTATGACTTGAATTATCCTCAGTATTTAGTATTCAATAACTGTCAAAATTGACTGATCACTGGGTGATGATCAATGTCATGCGTGTCAAGTCCACCCACCACCCAGTGATCAATCAATCGTGATTACATCTCAGTCCTACAGGAGGTCAGTCGCGGCCCGGAGAGCTCAGTGGTAACGTCTCTGACTGTGTAGCTGGATGACACGGGATCGAATCCGCCAGAGAAAACCCGTTCCCTCAAGATTACAGGTGCGCCTTGTTGACGAGTACCGAGTAGCACGAAACCCGGGTCCAGGGTTTCTTGTCGACTACCTTCAACCATCGTCTAATTCAATAACTGTCTTGTTCATTCATTAATTAAGTATTGTAGGTTAAATTATAATTTTCAGTAGAGATTTCATTTCAAATCATAAAATTGAATGATAATTTAAACAAAAAAATGTTTTAATTTTGTTTTTTTTTTGTTTTTAGAGAAAAATTAATCAAAAGTTCTATTCACTTGAATAAACATTTAAAATCATGTGAATGTCAAATGGTTAAATAGTTGCATGACTAAAATCCACATTCAAAATGATACTTTAACTAAGCTGGAATAATCGTTTATACATCAGAAAATAGAAATTAATCTAATAATCATGATGATGATGATGATGATGATGATGATGATGATGATGATGATGATGATGATGATGATGATGATGATGATGATGATGATGATGATGATGATGATGATGATGATGATGATGATGATGATGATGATGATGATGATGATGATGATGATGATGATGATGATGATGATGATGATGATGATGATGATGATGATGATGATGATGATGATGATGATGATGATGATGATGATGATGATGATGATGATGATGATGATGATGATGATGATGATGATGATGATGATGATGATGATGATGATGATGATGATGATGATGATGATGATGATGATGATGATGATGATGATGATGATGATGATGATGATGATGATGATGATGATGATGATGATGATGATGATGATGATGATGATGATGATGATGATGATGATGATGATGATGATGATGATGATGATGATGATGATGATGATGATGATGATGATGATGATGATGATGATGATGATGATGATGATGATGATGATGATGATGATGATGATGATGATGATGATGATGATGATGATGATGATGATGATGATGATGATGATGATGATGATGATGATGGTCAGCAACCTCCTGTTTATAAAGATTTATGTCTTCTTTTGATAACAGGAGTTGGAAATACTAATATTATTATTTGTCATATTGGAAGGAAGTAATCAAGAAGCTATGTCTGTATTATGATAATTTTAGACTTGTGTATCATTAGATTTCGGATCAATATCTTAGTGACTATGAGTTTACATGAGAGGTTGAAGATCCTGCGTTTGATCTTTAGCGGTACGTTTTTGGGTGCCTATCCTCATGAGTCGCATTATAAAATGAAACAACTTTCTTTCCAGTGTTTCAATGTTTTCTATAGTTGCCTAACAGAAAAATTTCACAATTTTGAAACAGTGAAATTAGATTGTTATTATTAGTGTCTTTATTCAATATTATATTTTTGGTACAATATAGAATTCTCAGCATAGAGTAATTCAACAAGCTTCCTTTCCTTTTTTCTTCATCTATCCTGACGATAAATATTGAGTGATCAACGGTTATATATTAGCAGTTCCGAAATCGACATCTGAACAATGATCATTCTTTTGAATACATATTGACATCTATCACAATGTCTATGAATGTACTTTTTTGTAAGTTGTACGGTGAAAGATCGTAAACTTTTCATAGACGCATTTAAATAGATATGATGATGTGGTAAAACAAACAAAATACAGGTAACTTGTTGAGATGTTTTGATGTCAGGAACAGGTAGTCCAGATATTCAAACAGCCCGCCAAAGTTCAAGAACTCAAAATTTGGAAATAAATTCTTACGTTGGCAATATTTAATAGAATCTGTAGAAAATTTTCTTGTAGTTTGAAACGTACTACTTAAGCATATTTAAACAGATATTTTCTAATTAGGTTATAAACTGAATACTTATTTTTAATTATCATGTTCCGCGGTTTGTATAAATCTGTTTACTGATATCAACTAGAAAAGTTTCAATGATCAATGAGCAGTGATCATCTGACTCATCCTCGTTTTGAACTCGTTAATACTGAACTAATGACAATGGAACGTTGTCGCACTATATTGTAATTTGACAGAATTTAGAAATGTGAACTACTGGATACTTAATGAATCTTTAACCATCATTTTATTCTTAATAATCAAGGATGAATACTACTTATTTCTTCCATTTTCAGACTTAACAATTCTTTATTGATGTCAGTTTTTTTAAAAGTTTTATCGACTAATATTATTTCACGAGAAAAATACCGATGGGAATATAATTTATGAACGATCTTTGAGGGACATTAAAGTGACATTGTGAATATCTACCTACTTACTAGAACTAAATGAGGGTTATTAACTCGCTTGAACAATGAGGATTATGATTTACAGTTTATGTTTAGGGTTAGGAATTAGATTTAGGATTTTCATCACAAACTAATATCACCTAAAATGCCCCGCGCACTACTGAGGAGTCTGAAAGTAGGACGAAACGGCCGTCCAGTGCTTCCACCTTTCCAACGGTGGTCTTATTTATTTGAACACATAAGTATTGGTACAAGAGAGCGCCGAATATATATGCGCCAACGGTGGTCTAACATCAATCGGTTCATGATCTCAATCACAAACCTAATAATCTCCACAACCCCTACACTGATAATAAACTTATTTTTCTCACATTTTCATTTGTGGTAAACATTTTTTAAATGATGTTATTGTTATAACTTGTGGCTTTCGTGCCCTGTTAATGTATGTAACATAATGATACCCCCAATTAGAAAGCAGTGAATTATCGATCGAACCAATGACGCATAAAATCCGTACTAGAAGTCTAGAGTCCTTATAGATCTTACTTACCGCCTAGCCCAGCCTGTTTACTTCAGAACACCAAACCCAGCTTCTGCGATATGAATTATGTATCTCAAACGTACTAGGTTTATATGTCAACCAGACAGACCACATCGTACCATAAAATAAGAAACAACATTTGCACAAGAATTAACCAAATGTGGCTATGAATGTGGGAGACTGTAATTAATAAACTAGGAATAACTTAAGAATGGTAAATTGTATAATAATAGTTCATAGATCAAACTAAAGCTCATAATAAGAGGAACATGAATATGAATAGTTTAGTTATTTAACAATTATGCGATAAAAATATACGCATAGTATTGGTCCATAAATGGATCCTAAAAGTTACCATTTATTATTCTCATCGGGATATAACAGTTATAAATAATTTTCCATTCATTGCATTTTTTGAATCACATAATGTGAATCATCAGGATAAATAAATTTTGCGAGTAGCATTGATTCATTATTAAGGTCATTAAAACAGTCTATAGTAGCTTAAATTCACTTGTTATTGTTTACTTGAATTTTCCTATTGATGTTTAAGTCTGTAATTGATCAGTCTCTTCTTGGTATAGGCGCATCCTGTGTGGATTGCCTCGATATTGCAGTAGAATTTGGGACTCGCATTTCGTTCTATTTGAGACTCGTCAACTGGATATACCTGTATCTCAGAGCTGATGTTCATTCTGAGACTCAAACTCAGTACCGTTCACTGCACTGTTGAATAACTTCAAAAAAAAGTGGTTATATGCCAATTAGAATGAGAGAAGTTTAGTAGCACTTGAGGACTAGATGTACCTTACTAACAAGTATTAAAAAAACCCAAGTTACTTAGTATATGAAATAGTGAATATTATTTAGTTCCTTTTAAAGAAATATTTTAATACTAAACAATTATAATCTATATATCCATATTATAATCTATCTATCTGTTACTTAATTAGATTTAAAAAGAATTATATGCTCATTGTGATGTAATTCGTTTTCATTCTTATTAAATATGAAAAGAATAATTCACACTTGCTTAGAATCACTATCATGTGCCTTGAAATATGTTACATTTTATCTTAAAACGTGTTTGAGCAGTTGATACATAAAAATGTCTACTTTGAATCTAATCACTTTAATTGAATTTGGCTAGGAAAGGAAATTGCCAAACTTCTAATGAAAAGCCGCATCAGTGCTATTCAACTGTGTCAAATATGAGGAAGGTTATCATCAAAGACAATGGATGATGGTCCAGCGATATTAAAAATTGACTAAAGTTACGAAATAAAAACCATCCAACAACAACTCAGCAGTCCAAAGTTTGAAGGGTTTCTGCTAGTCCTTCAGGTTCTAGGTTCAATTCCCTATAAAGTTGTGGATACGAACTGCTGTGGATTCTCGCGCTAAAAATGAAACAACTGTTTTTCCAGTGTTTCCATGTTTTCAGTTGTTATCTAACTTAGATCTATTTAGAAGTTTCAATATCATTCAACAATCTCTACAACATAGTGATGATTAGATTTAATTAACTACATAATACTGAAAACAGAATAACATACCTTTTAATTCATTTTTGTGTCGGTTGTTTGACTTTTACCACTGATGTTTAAGACTAAAATTGGTTAGTCTCTTATTGGCACATATACATTCTGTACGGATTACCTCGATATTGCCTTCAGTCACAAGCATTATAAGCAGAGATGGATAGTGGCTAGCAGTGAAACATTACAGTTTCATCCTCTAAATAAACAGAAAAATGAACAAACGTTTGTCGGACATTAAAAAAACGATATGATCCCAGTGCTGAGGTCATAAATGAGCACTGGTAAAGAGAAGCATACTGCATCAGTCCTGTATGTTATCTATAATTTACAGAAATGATGAAATTCACGATTTAGCTTTACCATAAAACTATTTAATTCTATGTAAAATGTATCAATTACTTACCAAATAACATTGTTGCGTAATGAATAAATGGATATATATATTGTATATGCGTATTTTATGCGTAAATAGCATGTTAAATATTATGTTCAAGTTGATTAAATATACACTAGCGTCAATAATGAGGACAGTGTCGGTGTATGATAAGCTTACTTTTGTCTTTTTTCTAGCACTCTCGTTTTACAATAAAATTTTGAAAATGTCATTCCTATGTATCATAACGTGAAGCTAATAGGTGATCAATTGAATTTAGTTGCTAATAAGAACTAAAAGTATGCAAATAACGTATATAATAACAGCAGCTGATAAATCACTAATAGAATCAGAATACTAGAAAACTGTTTTATTCGCATTCTGTAATAGCAATTACTTTTTTCTTACAAAATGAAACCCAACATATTCAGATTTCGCAGTAATTTGAAAACAATTTATATAATTCATTCTATTTACAATCATTAGTACATATAACCAATACACAATGAATAATTGCTCTTTCAACATACAGTAATTCATATCAACATTAATCCATCAGAATGTGATCTCTACAACAACAACAACAAAAACTACGATTTGTATTTGAAACATATTCCGACCATAATCCTCCCGAGACTATAATTTATGGACGAACCAATCAGATATAAGATAATAGATCTTAGATTTCGGTATTCTAGCTGATGTCAGTTCGTAATGAAATCCCTAAATCAAATTCCTTACCCTAACCATCAATTGTAGATACTAATCCTAAATTCTTGACATTAATTTATAAACCTTATTTAGTCCTAGTGTAGTGAGCAGAACACAGGTGGGGACAATCGAATTACATTTAGCATAAGATTACAGAGGTACTTGATAAAGTAAAAAAAACCATATAGCAAATCGTTAATTTGCAAAATATTAATCCATCATATCAACATGGACTGTTCCTGTTGCAAACATCAATCCATTGTCTCACATTTCATTGTTCATGCGTTTTCTTACAAACTGCATTGTGTTCCCGCTCTTCCTTTCTTAATCTTCTCCCATCTTCTGCTGCCACGCATTACGTTTTTAACTCGCGTCATATATTACTTACACCAATATAAGTAGCACACACCACACTAGTAAGTAGGTAGATATTCTTAAAGTCACTTTAATGTCACTTAAAGATCATCCATAAATTATAGTTACACTCATAATCTTTACCATTTATAAGATCAGTAGTGCATATACATATAATCTAATATCCTCCGATTATTAAATAAGAATATTATACAATTTCAACTCATCTATAAGTTAATTGATTTATTAATGACAATAACCCATAACAATAAACTTAA